AAATAGTTGATCAAAATCCGCATGTTGTATACTTTTACTCATAAGAAAATACTTGTTTCAGAGTTTAGAAATACTAACTTGATACACACCATCGAATTCTTAATGCTTAATACCTGAGTATTTGAATAATGCCACTAAAATGATAATTTATCACATCGGAAAACCACTTAATAATACAACGGATTAAATAATTTCCGACCTGGTTTTTCATGATCGTCAAAAATGATTACAGTAGTTAAGCGTTTTACGCTTCATAATATAAGTGTTGGAAATGAGTGGAGCTAGGATGAAGGTGATTCGCAAAAACGTTCCAAATGTTGTGCTAAACAATAGAATCGACCAATGAATGACCAGTGGTGATATCTGATTTACAACTCTGTGTTATAGCTTAGATAATTATTAAAATTAATTTTGTGACCAGACATGCATTTTTTTAAATTTGACCAAAGAAATCTCATTTCGTCTCATTTAATCAATCTAAAGTGTATTTAGTAAAGAGATATTTTGTCGCTGATTTATAACAAGTTCAGAATAAATGAAAGGAAATCCTCAGCCTTATGTGCCCTTGATTCCATATAGAATCAGAATTATTGGTTAATACTTCAAAGAGTTTTCTACTTAACGTAAAATGTATCAGGAATGAAAACAAGAGAAATTTTTAGTCACAGTGACAAACTAACAAACTGAGCAATTGTGTGTGACCTGAATAAATTATCTTAATAAAAAGAATAGGAACAGTAATTTCATATGTTATTGAGCATGTGTTCATCTCTAAATTTCTAATCATATTTAAATAAAAAGTCTAAACTCTGAGGACAAAAAACGATTTTAATATTACGACCAATTCTTTCAGAAATATTTAAAATAAGGGTTATACTGGGATGACGACCGTTAACACATGATGCCAAATAGTCTTTTAATTTAAAAAACAACAAACATTATTGTATGTCTACTAGCTATTTATGGTGTTTTATAAACACTAATTAATTAATGCACTCCAATAATCGGTGAAAGTTCATGTATCTAGGTTTCAATCATACTTCAGTTATGGCATTAAGTGAACACTGAAAAACAAGCAGGTGGGACTGAATTTCAATTTGCATATCAAAATCTTAGCGTAATACTAATAAAGTTGCTACTGTTTAATAATGTTACATTCAAAAACTTATGTGCGCGCCTTTTTTAATTAGTTTAGTAGAAACGTTGTAATTACTTTAGTTGGTCACTTAATATCTATAAATGTGTATTGCCATATATTGCCACATATTATCCTTTCCTCGACAAATCATTATCAACTAATCATCCTGTAGTACAATTAAGTTGCAGCTATTAATTTATTAGAATTAAAGATGATTTCATACGTAGATAAACATTCTTCAAGTAAGCATTCTTGATAAATTAACAATGAAAATCTACATTTTTTGTAAACGCTAATACTTGCCTTCTTTCAATATGCAACGTTGGTTCACTGTATCGTTTGAATTAATCAAGTTTAATTTATGTGAGTATTTTATAGATCTTTGCACAGTAAGATTGAATGAGATATTTTGTTATTTCAGCTTCTTACTGATGATTGCTTAGATAAGTAAACTGTTGTTAGTTTATTTGAGTCGATTAACATTTGTGTATTTCTAAGAAAAAGTTAAATACAACACACAACATTGTTTTGTAACCTACCTGTAAAATCAATTCTATCCAGTTTCATAAATGTATATCAAAAAAGATAGTTATTTGAAATCTAAATTATATTACTGATGTAAACAGTTATTTGCCGATTAATCGACCACTGAATAGTGACCAATATCGTACTTGTCTAATTATCAGCACTGATCGAATATGTTTGATGAAGTAGCACTATAGATAGTAGTTAAAGTTGCTCTGGGCCTTTTTCACCCAGTTTTACAGTTTGAGGCATTGTTAAGCTACTAGGGCAGCCTAAATAGTTCATATATAAGGCATTATTTCTTTGATCACCTGTTCCATTGAGGTAATTCAGTTTTCATCAACTGGATAAAGATACAGACGCTATAAACCATGCAGTTTATATAAGTTTTATTATTCCCAATTAAATTATTTTTTCTACAAAAGGCCTGTTCTTGAATAGTACAAAGTTTATTGGCTTTTCACGATGGTGTTTTATTATAATTTGTTGGTCAGATTATTAATTCAGATTTCATACGAAATATGGATCATTCAAGAATAAATTTACCTTCTACACATATATTGTATACGTGTTTAGAGTTATAAAACTACAATCATGCTTTTAAAGATTAACAAACTGATCAGTAACTCTTTTCTAAATTCTTTCTCTGAGATTTTACAAACACAGTCTTCCTCTTTAATGTCTCACATCAACTCGGCGCCCGAATACTGTGAAACTATTCGATCAAATTTAGACGAAAGTTCTTATTTAATTGTAAATAACCAAATAGATTGTCTTCTCAGAAAGTGATTTCTTGAAATATTATTTGACTTTGATATAGAATTCCAACTAAAGTTTCATTATTCATCCCAAAAACCAATTCATCTTTAACATAGACAAGGATTAGATTATCACATAAATAATAATAGGACTATCTTCAATTTATACGATATTATAAGTGCAAAAATGAACATATTTTTGTATGGATGACTTTCAAGTAGTTGGTTATTTTTACTCAGTATAGATTTTCTGTAGAGAAATAATTCATTCTAGTTACAGTGTGGTGTGTGCTACTTATGTCGACATAAGTAGCATATAACGCTAGTCAAAAATAGAATGTCTGGCAGCAGAAGCTCAAGAAGATCGAGTAGGAAAGAACGAGAACAGAAAGTGATTGGTATGGAGATGTAAGAACACTAAAGTTTGAGACGATTGACTAATAGTTACAAAAGGGACAGTCAAGTTTGGGACAATCGATTGACATTTTGTAAATTAAGTATTCACTGTATGATTCTCAGATTTTACTAAGATGTTCTGTAATTTTGTGTTCAAATACATTCGATTGTCCCCACCTGTGTTCTCATTCACTACAACAGTTTTATGGAATATTTCCGAAATTTCTGCTTAGCGAGTTATTTTATAAAACTTTAAGTTATATTTACCTGAAAAATAGTGTTACATCGAGATAACGTTTGAACGTGTGATTTATCTGTAGAAGACTGTTCATATTTAAATGTTGAAAATTGCGAATGAAATTCATGGAAAGAAACTAAATCAATCTCTAGTTAACCATGGTGATTATTTAAATAAAAGATTAGAAATTATGTAAATCTAAACAAAATGAAAATAAGGTGGTGATATTTTATGGCAAAATACAGAATAAGAAGACAGGTTTGAATCAACCATTGGGATAAATCAGTAGATACGTGCTTGTATTAACTGGTAGCTTTTTACTTTTATAGATTCAAGTTTACGTGTTAAAACTTTCCTTCAGTTGTTGAGAAAGTACATAAAGCAAAATGAATTCATGATATTGTACTCAGATCTTTATTCTTACAGTTTTCGAATGACTAGAGGAATTATGTGTGAAATCTTATGGACTGTTTTATTCATTTATCATAAATTTACGCTAGTCTTAAAGGGAATAGTGGTACAATATGGTAACTAATGTCAAATTTTCTCATCTCCTTAGCGCAGATCTACACACAGTTTTCATTCATGACTTCTTTTTATAAACAAAAAGGGTAAAACGTATTATGCAAGTCAAATAGTACGTTACTTTACTATAAACGCAGATTCATAAGCGATAATTAGTCGATAAAGGATTTGTTATTACCAAAATGAACCTGGATAAATCTCGATTACAAACGACTTCGTTACAAAATCTCTAATCTTATATAAGAATTTTCATTTAGTTCACGTTCTCTTCAACTTGAATTGTTGATGATATTTTTTAAGGTTTATTTCTTATTTTCATACTGATCGGTTTTAATGATATATTTTGTCTATTATCATTTAGGTAAATAAATTTATTAGCTAATGCTTGTTTGAACAACTAGTAATCTTACAAACGCCAACCCAAATTGTGATAATCTTAGCACCTTTCAAAAGGATCACAGAAAGTTCAACCTTTCGATGTTTGATTTACCTTTCATTTGTGGATTATTATCAGTGCTTCTAGGTTTTATCCTAGTATAGGTCTAATAAACCATCAGAACATCTTTTACTCTCTTCATTTTGAAGTTATCTGAACAAAACCCAGCTAGTTCAAGTCATGCACCTAGTACCTCCCTCATGTCATAAGAAAAGTAGCTAACAACTCGGAAATAAAGGTTAGTGAATAGCAAGCATTATAGCTTTCCGACACTAAAAACTATCTTTAGATTATTTTGAAGCGCGTTGAGATTAACTCACCATTTAGATTTCTTTCTTGTTTTTACATAACTGTGGAATTGTTCAAAAGAAAACAATTTGTGATTGTTACGATAAACATTCATTAAAAACATGTTTTTCAGTTTATCTTAAACGCGGTTTTCTACTTTGATTTTTATCCTGTAAATTTGTAGAGTATCAAAACGCATTTAATATTTCCAGTTTTTTTTTAAGACAAAACACGTTTTTAACCTTAAAGACTAGAACTTGCAGTAAATTAAGTACTTACTAATTTTGATGGCCTAGAAAAATTGTGCAATAGGAGATCTAAGTACACGTATAATTTGATTCTATTCAAAAATGCAGATGTTGTAACATGAAGTTGATTTCTTAGAGCAATAAAAAATATAACCATATGTAAGCACTTTGAATAAGTTTTACTGATATCATGCAAAGAAATACAAAATTTCACACCACTGAGTCGTTTAAACTATATTTATTTATAGCTTTAGATAGAACTAATGAATTGATCATAACACTCAAATCAGATCACAATTACATGGTTTATTTGTAAATACGTTCTTGTCTAGCTGAGAATATAGTGTAAAAAAGAATCATCATCATACTCAATAAGAATTCTAGATAAACTGTTTATAAACGCACCTCAGCAAAAAAAACGAACATTGACGAAAACAGTTGTACTTACCCTGAGGTGCTGTTTGCAATCTCTCTAAAAAGCTATTGACAGGAGTGTTAGATAGTAGAAAAATCCACACAAAACTAGTTAAGTACACTTGAAATTGATTGTTCTTAGTCCAACGATACAGATACATATTATTCAGCAATAACGATATCTTATATTTGGTCTTTTTATGGGGCTCTAATTAAAGAGCGCCCAGTATGTTGTTTTTTGATTTTATTATTGTCTTTGATAAAACATAAAGTGTGATGATATAACGGTTATTGTTGCGTAAGCCCTAGAGATAAGTATAATCTGTATTCAAAAACAATGTACACCTATGAATGTAAAAATAGCCCACCTCTCTATTCATATTCATTCAATTCATATGGGTGTGTACACATATTATGCAGTTCAGGTATGTACTTATGCTGCTGGAAAAGTGTGCATATATATGTACGTATATCTACCTTTCTATTATATGTATATATTTGTCAGTTAACAAATATTAGAACTTATGCTTTTACATCAGCCTACAAAAATTACGATTTACTTTTTTATGTTGTTTTTTAATGGTTCCTTCTTAGTGTTTCTCATTCGATATTTTCGACCTGCCTTTCATACAGCAATATTTAGTGTAGCACATACACCTCTCCTACAAAAATATGTACACAAAATTCGGACTAGAATGAAAATTTTTTTTGCTTTGTTGTATTCAGCATTATATATCCAGGTATCATAAAATAAGTAAAAAGAAATAAGGTAGGTGGGATGGGTGATAAGTGCCAACATTTGGCCCGGATAATAGCTAATATTCAATCATTGAATAAATAAAGCATGCAACGAAGCACATAATGCAATGTGTTTGTGTGTGGTTATCTTTAATAAAGTATATCTTTGTTTTGAAAAATCTGTCCAAAATACAGAACGATCAACAACGCCAATTCATTCTCTTTTCTATGTCGTCGATTTACCTTAGAACTCAGTATAAATAACATACAATTCAATAATGGAAAATACTGAATCTTTCTTTAAACTATACAACATTATTCATTGATGAGCCAGGTTCACTACATTGTAAAGAAAGAAACTTAAAGTTTTTCGGTTCCCAAACATAGCTTTTTGAAATGTCAGTGGGAAATATTGATTCAGAAATTTATAAATGCTAATATATATATAATATAATCTTATTTTCCGCGACAAATGACATGGTTATGTGTGCGTAGGTGTGCAATAAAATATAATCGTATTACTTGTCAAACAACCAGTCCTGGTCAGTATAAAGGATGAATCGCTTTATCAGGAGGCTTAAAGGTTAAAATGGTGCTATTCTAGTCTATAAAGCATACACCAAAGATATACATAATTAGGGAAGAGATAATTCAACATATTTTTAATTTAGTAATGTACCTTGTTTATATAATTTGGCTTCCAAATACAATGAGAGTTTAGTCATTAGCATGGTAAATGAAGTTACGAAGTAAATGACAATGTAAGCGGATAGGAATAAAATAGACATTAGGAGATCGATAATAACGATTACTGTGTCAACATCATACTGCGAGATCACAATTTCTGGACGAACCAATTAGTTAAGATAGTAAGTCTTGGATTTTGGCTCGAAATCCACTTATCCATATGGCTAAATAGAATAGTTCGTGATGGAAACCCTAACGTATAACCGTAAATCCTAATTCCTTACATTAAATTATAATCCTCATTTCATTCTATTGGTTAGGTAAATTTTCTCAACGTCACTTTAGCGTCGCTCAAACAACATCCGTAAATTATAGTCTTGCTTACCATACTATATACATATATTTCGGGGATACTATAGGAAAACAAAACAAGGAAAATCTATGAAAAAACTAATTGATACTTACACGTGAAAACAAATTATTGTTGATTAATAAAGTAACAATTTGGCAACTGGTTTCGGAAATATATACATATTTATCCGTTATGTATATTCTCATCGAATATCACAATTTTATGTCCAAAGATTCACTAAAGAAAAATAATAACCTTTATTTATTATCTCAGTGTACTAATTATGACAGAAAATTTGTAAGCTAGATAATTTACGATTTTCAGTAAGACAATGTATATCTGTTATCTAGTTATCAAGCGTGTGTATGAAATACTACGTGAAGACAAAGTTTAGGTGAAATATTTGGATACTGAGTTTACTGTAATTTAGAAAAGTGAGTTAATAACAAGGATGAGTATTTGGGTGTATCTTTATAATCCATCTTATCGATGATAAGATACTATATGGATATTAGATCTGTTAGAGAAGAGATTTGAACCCGTTTTAAACACGGTCAACAGATAGCTCCAAGTAGAATATTTCGTCAAGTGACCACAATTTTATCTGAAAACACCAAAATTTCAAAAATGTCACTTCTGAAAGCTCCAACTGAAAATGTAGTAGATTCTAAAATATAGCATGTTGATCGAATTTTTTCAAAGGGTCTTTAGCATTTTTTTATATGGAGAGTAGTTACTTAATTGATCGAATTGTGAATGACGCATGAAATTCATTTTCCCTAATCATCTGAGACATGTAATTACATTTTTAGGAGTCAGCCAGTCAAATTAAATTATACAAATCCGACTGTTAATCTATATGCAAATAAATAATATAAAAGTGGTGTATTCACATACTATTGCGATTTATTTCCGTCGTCAAATAAATCCATGTCAGTACTGTTTGTGTTTTAACTAAGCTTCGTTAGAATCAGGGTTTTAAGTACTAAGTGCAAGTCAGCACTCAGAGGACACTTACATACATAACAATTCTTAATTTCCTTTATATAAAAACCTCATTGTGACTTATATAACATAAAAGGAGAAAAAATGTGTCTGCTTTCGAAAGTGATCTATAAAACCCGTTGTCTGGAAATTAATAGTCAAACTGTGATATAATAGACAGTCTTAAAGTAACAATTTGGGTCATTCACTATGTAAGATTAATTCTTTAATAAAATCTCCATCAGCTCATCAAACACTTGTCACATAGAGAAGGCACTTGATATTGCTAGGGAAATTACCAAATGTGTTTTTACGATAAAACAGTATTTAACTAATCTCTGACAATAAAAGTACATGAAAACCAGTTGCCTTTAGAACGAACTGTAGATAAGAATGCCATATGAAGCGACTGAACTGTTTCATTTATTACATCTTTGAGAAAGTTGTCTTTGCAAAGTTTGCGCTTATCAATTATATGTATGTATGTTCGTAAAGAGTATCTAATCCTTTACGTGAACATTCTGGACAAGTTTTTTACAATATTTAGTAATCCAGACACTACTAACAAACCGTTTGATAGACAATATGAAATCAAGATTCAAATATAACATGAAATTTGAAGTTAGAAGTCGATAAATTATTGACCAAAAGAAATAAATATACATCACAGTGTTACTGATAAATCCTATTTAATCTAATTTCGAATAGATAATTTAGTTTTCCAGTTACCCGTTGATGTGCTGCACTACACTTTTTATATATGTGCTTAAGAAAAGACAATAAAAATATTTGCAAAATACAATTGGATCCACTTTTTACTTAAATTTATGGAGGGAATCAGTTGCACGATGATTTTTATGTACCGAAAGCAGCAATATAGCTAGATGCATTAGGGTTAACTGACGATATGCTCACTTGATACCTTCTATGATTCACCACATAAATTTTAAGCAACTCAGTATTTCACATTGCAATAGATCAGTACTAAAGTTCAAAACTGCAAGTTCAAACAAATATTCTGCATATGACATTACTACTTATATGAGACATGGATGTATGCACTTCAATATTTGCAAACAATTAGAATAGCTACTGATGGAAAGTCAACATCATCAGATGCTTCAACCTAATTGTCTGGTACAGTATTATTATTGTCAAAATGCATAGAAGTATTGGATGAATAAAAATGGATAACGGAAACAGTAATGACTAACTCATGTTATCTATTTATGGATACAATGTACGTATGTCGATTAGCTTTGATAGCTTGATGGATGATTAAAAGAAAATTATATTCAAATTGCATGCTACCTACTACGATTTAAGTAATACAGATGATAACGCAAAACTTTCGAAAGTCACGCTCACCAACAGAACTGATCAGCTTACGACTTTAATGATAAACCATGAGCAAGAGAAATCGATACAAGAAAACCGAAAGTAGTTATAATCACTTACACTATTATATCTGTGACAAATTTGAACATGAGTAGTGACAATGGTGATCGTCAGTATCATATCACATGAGATGATACTCTATAAGTCCTCATACGAATGTGAATCAACTTAAACTTGAAAAACGGTATGGCATCAGTTGAGACAAACGTCATCCAACCTTCATGAAAAATAGAAACCGTGGAATACTGGCATGTCTGAACTCAGTTGTTGGCGGTAATTGCCAGGAAACTTGAACATAAGCTTTTAACTAGCTGGAACTCGCAGCACATCACACTTGAAATTTGGAGGAAATTGATCCCCAAAACGAAATTCGAACGTGAGTCATCCAGTGCCATTGTCAAATGCGTTATTATTAAGCCATTTGAACCGCGACTAACACGCAGGATTTAGATTGTTACAATGAATGACCGATGAGTAGTAACCAATATCATACTCTTCTAGAACTTAGTGACGATCGAATTCTGTCGATCTGGGCAAAATGAAGTAAATAAGCCTAGTTAATAGTGTTCGGGAGGTTACTATTTTTCGGTCGACCATATAACAGAAAGATTCTTCTTCCTGATGTACCTGAAAAAGAAACTGGATTAACAGCGATCGCAGTAATCTGGTACGGAGCTGAAACTTAGAGGACAACTGCAACCATAATCGAAACAGTACAAGTATTTATAAACAATTGTTTACACAGAGTAACCAAGATCCGTTGACCGGATACCATCAGCAACAACCTAATGTGACAGAGAACAAACCAACTTCCATCTGGAAGATAAATTAAGGAAAGATGTCGAAGGTGGATAGGACATACATTGCGGAAACCATTAAACTGCATCACGAAGCAAGTCCTAACTAGGCATCATGAAGGGAAAAGAAAAGGGGGAATACCAAGGGACACAGCGTTGGGAATGGGAGGTACATCAAAAGAATGAATAGCGATTTCAAACAACTGGCGGGGACGGCCCAGAACAGAGATGGTTGGAGAATTCTGGTATGGGAGCGCAGTTTCGGAGTCCGAATGACAACTTCCTGGGGTGGGCCACAAACTAATTTTTAGTCTTTGATGTGTTAAATCCGCACTTTAACGAGTTTACCCCAGCAATGGAAATTCATGGGGTGAGGTGTGTTATCTTTAAGACCGATCTTCTCTAGCCCCTTCGCTTTATTCTAAGAATGCAGATAATGGCTGTCTGGGGAAACACCCCGCTGTTGTTTTACTTTAGCACCATCGGCAATACGACTACGCTCTCGGACTTAGGGTTGTTGCTTTTAGTACTATCAATTCCTAACAAGCCTTTCTGACATGGTAGTACCTAAAGGAACAAGGGTTTTGATGTATCAGAGCAAAGACTGGAAAAATAGTAACTTCCGTAACTATTTTATGGGTCAATACTGTATACACTCCTATCGAGTAATCACTGTATAACTGGAATACCCCTTCTAGCTTATGTTTAATTTTTTCTGTTAACTCACTAACCGTTATTGTACAGCTAATATTCTTAATTTATTTTATAGTGTAATGTGGTCCAATACATCTGTGTATAAACCCATATGTGCTTGAAATAAGAAATGATAAAAGCCTAGTTAATGACTTCTCTTCGGACTCAAAGCGAAGTACAGAGAAAAGCTTGCAGATAGGTGGACCAATAGGATTGTAGCTTAGGTAAACTAAAGGTTAACTGTGCATGTCATAACGTATGCTTAGTCAAGTCTACAACGCTAGGCTATGGACGGAATATAAATAAAAATAATATATTTGTAATATCCCAATGAGTAGAAAATCAGATGTTTCTGATTCCCAGAAGAAGTAGCTCACACTGAGCCACGAAACGCCAGAAAGATCTAATTTTCTACTCATTTGGATATTACAAATATATTATTTTTATTTATAGCAATCTATCCAACGCTCATTTTATTTGAAATTATTAAGTCAAACCTCAGTAATGATACCTATGGACGGAATAGTTGACGCGAAATATAAAAAAACTATTGTCGGGTTCCTGGTTGATGAATTTAGCATGTGATATTGTATAGAATCTCAAGATGAAATGCTTCACCCAACATAGCTCTCTTGAGTCACCACAGCATACAAGCCCGACCACTTAGTGAAGGGATTAGCTACGATCAGGTAGTTGTAAATACTTAAAAAACCAATCATTTTCGTTACTCTCTCACTAATTTTATTTGTAAACATGTGAAGGACTTATTCTACTCAAAAATTAGGCATAATCTCGGATAATATACACTATTGACTAGTAAATACAACACAAGATGGAACGTAATTTGCTATATATCAGGAGATTAAGAATCATCATGCGCAAAGCACTACATTGGGCTTAGGAAACATAGACGCGAGAAATTTACCAATCAACTCCACATGTGCACACGGTGCGCGTAAGTAACTGAAATGTAACACCTCATGAACTAGTATAGGTGGTTCTCCTTGCACAGTTCAACGACAAAAACCCGTACTTAGCAGATTAGATTATTTATTTAACCGTCGGGTAGTAGACATGAATTAGATATATCTGTTAAGTTTTGGGTAGTCAGGGCATATTGTTAGCCCCTAACCAACAAATGTTGTTCAGAGAAAGTTCACGGACATATGGGTAGTTAATGAGTTGTTCTTCATAGTTAATTATCATTCAATAAAGCAAACACTATCATTATTGAATAACCCCTAATTTTAGAAGACAGTGTTATGTCCCGATAAGAATAATGAATGGTAAATTTTGAGATCCATTTATGGACCAATACTATGCGTATATTTTTATCGTATAATTGTTAAATAATTAAACTATACATATTCATGTCCTTCCTATTATGAGCTCTATTTTGACCTATGAACTAATATTACACGATTCACCATTCTTGAATTATGCCCTGTCTATCAATTACTATCTCCTACATTCACAGCCACATTTGGCTAATTCTTGTACAAATGTTGTTTCATATTTTATGGTACAGTGTGGTTCGTCTGGTTGGTATATAAACCCAGTATGGTTGAAATAAATGATTCATACCGCAGAGGATGAGATTGGTGTTTTGGACTTAACTGGCTGGGATAGGAAGGAAGCAGGACCGATAAGTATTCTAGACTGCTCGCATGGGTTTTATGTATCATTGGTCCGGTCGATAATTCATTGCTCTCTAATTAGCGTTATCATCGCGTTATACATTAACAGGGCATATGGGTCACAAGTTAAGACAGACAGAAAGTATATCGAAATGACTGTTTATTACGTACGGTAACGTGGATAACATAATCGTAATTCACCAAATGCACGAATGAAGAGTGAAGCTTAACTATAAGCCAGGATTATAAGTGCGATATAGAATACGGAACATACAAATATATCCAAAACAATCTGTTAAAGCTCATGTTTAAGGATTGAAATATATTTACAAGTGATCGTAATATTACGAGGGTTATTTAAGCGACCCATTTCATACACCGCGTATCTGAATGTATTTCATAACACTTCCTGCTGCAGTATGGTAGACCACAAACTATACAGTTATATAGACCTTGAAAACCACAGACATTACAAAACTTCCTCCTGGGTAGCCTGCTCGGAGGAACGGCGGCCGTAAAATAGCAGGCACCAGTAGTTCCTCCTTTCGTTGCTTGATATTCCTCATCCAGTAAAATCTCAAACGTTTTTCTACAGCGTGCACGAATATTCGATATGCGTTTCTTTTTTCGGCGCTTGTTGTTGGCTGAAATATCTTCATCCTAAAAAGAAAAGTGGTAAACTGATGCTAAAGAACTATCCAAACCTCATCTCCAAATTGTGGTCTCTTCGTTCCTTTCACATCTGAGTGGGGTTCTTCAATGTGATTATCTTGTTCCAACAAGCTAAGAGTTTTTCTCTGTCTCCTCTCTTTAGCTGCATCATCTAAAGGACGTCTAGTAGCCTCACGCAAAAGTTCGCGTTTTTCCATATCATAAGATGCACTTATTTCATTTTTGCACATTAAAGGATATAAAAAAAATTAAAAAAGGTTAATATTCTAAAGCTACACTTGAGATATATACTGAATATAATTGGGACTTGGGAGAAAGGTATAAAGAACAATAGCTGTTATGGAAAAAGTTCGATTCTCTGAAACACGGTACGGATTAAACAGTAAATCCTCAACGGAAAGTATGCGGAACGTGACTCAGAAAAAATATATATCTGTATAAAAGACTATTGACTGATAACACTACTTAGATGCCCAAACTTCGTGGAGTCCGAAACAATGGCTCATAATTGAAAGTAAGAATGCTTAAACCAATTAGAGAATACAACAGTTTATATTCTGCTATACTGAGAGAAGCAGCTTCAATCTTGGTAATACCGCTTAGCGTTATGTTCTCACATTCGCTAAGTCGAGGCACATCACCGGAAATTTGTAAGTTGGCTCACATCACACCAATTTTCGAAGTTCGCAGCGAACCTTCAAGCTACCGATCGGGAGCACTTCTCTCTATACCCTCAAAAATTATGGAGTCCTTGATATGCGACGGTATACACGACTACTCATTATCCATAAACTTATTTTCACCCCCCAACAGCACGGTTTCGGAAAAGGTCACACTTGTATAGCCAACCTGTTGACTGTGGTAGAGAGATGGACAACCATCCTTGATCGCAAAGGGAAGGTTGATGTCATATGCCATGACTTCTCAAAAGCTTTTGATAGGGCCAACCACATATGTGTTATCAATAAGCTCAAACGACTAGGTATCAAATCACCTTTAATTTGTTGGCTCACCATATATTTAAAATATCGATATTTTAAGGTCAAGGTTCACTTCACTTACTCTCAGGCTGTGGAATGTCCTGGTGTGGTCCTCCAGGGTTCAGTACTAGGACCTCTGTTTTTTTTATTTATGTAAACGATCTTCTAAAGCAGGCATCGTCAGATTTATTGCTTTTCGCTGATGATGTGAAACTCTGGAGAGAAGTACGTAACTAAGAGGGTAAACTGGCACTTTAGGAAGACCTGACTCGACTCTACAGGTGGGCAGATGACAACAGGCTTACCTTTAACACTTCATAGTGAAAAGTAGTCCATCTGATACATTTTTCAGACTACAACTTATGCAACTCCCCTCTAGAGGTATCCCAAGTTGAGAAAGATCTAGGAGTGTTGGTACCCTATGATTTAAAGTGTTACGCCAACTGTGACAAAAATGCCCCCCCGAGCAAACCTTGCACTGGTAACTTTGAAGCTCATTTCCGGCCAGTTCGATGGAGGAACTTTCGACATAATCTCCAACAGTTTTACTTGTCCCCATTTAGAGTACGAAAACATAGTATTTCCTCCCACATTCCAAAAGGATAAGGACACTCTGGAACGTATCCAACGGCGAGCCACGGAACCAGTTCGGGGACTCAAATTAAAGCCATATGAAGAGCTCCTCTAATCACTGAACCCTCACCCATTGGAGCACAGGCGTCTTAGAGGTGACCTTCTAATGGCCTGCAACATCCTTGACACTTCTGCACATCCCCATATATACCTACTTGGACTTAGTCCCAACATAAACCATAGGGGTAATGCCCGGAAACTGAAGACAACACAGGGGAACAGGTCATATACACACCTTCTACTCCTTAAGAGTAGTCAAATGCTGGAATTTGCTGCCAGCTGAGCTGGTTCAGGCGACTTCGCAGAAGAACTGACATACTCTTAACGACTAAGGACAGTATCTTACTATGATCACAGGGAAAAGTTGGTCGGTCGATTTACCAACTTTCTTCTTTTTCCCCTTTTATCGTCAGTATACCTAGGTTCCTACCTGAAGGTATCGGTGATCCACTGTTACTAGATACAGAAGCCCGCTAAGCGAAAGATCCTATTCCGTCCAGAACAATTTGAATCATGTTCAATAAGTACACTGCATCACCTGACAGGCACTTAGGAACGCATCACCAACCATGTGTCAAATTTACGCCATTATTGTAAGAAACAAGACTAATAGATGATAACAATATATCAGTTATATTATTCGAAGAGTCAGTTTAGGATACATATGCGAAGGTATTATGAAAAATACTAAAAAGACTAAATCCGTACAGAGCTTCCTTCCATTGTTTGTATACACTACACACAGCTTACTCATGACTTTGGGTGATAGAATTTATAGTCTGTTTATGTGCGGCTAACACATTTGTTTCACAACTATATGTATCAGAAACAATTATTTTAAAATTTGTTTTCCATATTCAATCGTTTTCAGATCACCAAGTAATAGTGTTATTTTTACTGCATATGTTAATTAGTTGTAATCAACCTTTACTCCTGAAACCGATAAGCCTATGTTAGCAGAGCCACTATTTACTGGTCAAGGTCACTTCAAAGATAGAATATAGATATACTCACAGAACACTTAGCCCTTAAAAACTGTTAGGCCATGACTTGATAACAGTAAACTGAAAGTCCTTTGAAAAATTTTCCAAATATGTACAACCTGAGTTATGAGGACTCGTTCGAGCATTGTAGCAAACCCTGCAAACCAAGCGGCTTCCGATTACCGTTCAGGTCAATATCCAATAAATCACAAATCTGTTCTTCAATGCTTTATCCAATAACGGAAACCAAACTGACATACTGTCTGCGTGGATTCTTTTTTGTATTTTATTTGATTGCATTTTATGGAATCAGGAATCGCACTAAAGGCCTATTCTGACGTGGTTTACGTTAGAGATTAATTATTTGGGTCTGATTGTTTCCGGTTTTTATTTCAGTTTCAGTTGAGGAACGAAAAAATGTCCACTGGGTTTCATCAACCTTTTGGAAAGGAGTCTCAAAGTTTATTCAACTTTCTTTAGGACCTGTCGGTAGATGGATCTATAACTTCATGTTGATGTAAAACGTTTTACTCGATGACAAGTCGTCTATTGTAAGCCTGCAAACTATTACGCAGTTTCTTCATTGATTCCCTGTTTCAGAACACAAGAAATTTGAAGTCATGTCAGGTGTAGAACTATTATTAAGCAATCTATTTACCGTGATGAAATCACATTAGGTTGTTTTATATGACAAGTGGGATAGGCTTCGTTTCTCCAGTCTCTGATCACACCGTAGTTTTAGAACACCGGAAATCAATTTGGTTGCGACTAGCCTAACCGCTTTCGACGAATCTGTCTTTTCTGGACAAGAGCTGATTTTACGTATTAAAACACTAAACTTAAGGGTGATCGTATATTGTATCGGAAATCCAAAAGGATGACAGCTTTTTCAGGGCAGTGCGCAATGGTTTTCAAATATTAGATGACGGAGACCTCTGGGTCACTGCGTGTATGGACCACAGGGAACTCAACATCATTTAGTGTGCGATTACTTGTGCCTTGGCAACTAATATGAATCATGATGCTATCAGTGTATATTCATCAGTGACTAGTCATCAGTGACTACCAAATTCTAGGACATTCAGATAAATTTTGCTAGTCGCTTTGAAGCTTCAATGTGTCACCTTCGTTTTCCGCAGTACCTCATATCTTGATATCGTCAGCATACAACAGAATCGATTATAGGAGACTAGTATAGTCGGTCGGATACAAGAGGAATATTATTTTTCTCATGACTGTACCACGTGGGACTCTATCACTGACAGCTTTTCAGCTGGATGACTCGAAGTTAACAAGTTGTTTTGTGGGTTCGTTCAATGTAATTGCTTTACAGTCCTTTGATCTGACCTCAACTGAATGTAACCGCCAAATTCCAGTGTTTTATCTGAACAGAGTGTTCACGAACAAATTTGGTTTATAAGGCCGGACTACATCCTTCTGTATAGCTTACGAAGCGTTTTTGAGTGACTAATATTCAATTGCATCAAAACTAAAATCCAGTGCCTAACTTATGGAGGAAAACAAATTATATCAAGGGTATAAATAACCTTAAACGACATAGCCTGCGCTATTCAGTCGTACGTTTCTTTGGCCCAAAGTGCATGTCAAAATACACTTGTAGGTGCGCAAGGACACAAAACGTGAGAATGAAAAATGACAAACTGGTATACACTCGTACTGTTAATTAAAAAGTTTTTTGCTCACTACTTACACAAATATATGAAAAATTTAGGAAAAATAGTATTTGTTTCCAGTTTGTTTTTCGATACAACAATAAAAAACGAGATAAAACAAAATATCGTGCAGTATTCTAGGCGCAGTAATCGTTTAAGTGTTCCGGAATCCTTGCTCTCCTTCCAGAGCACGTTGTTTTAGACGGGTTGTCAAATTGCAGAAGAATTTCCTCGTGATTGCTGATTATCGGGTGGGGTATCGTAGTTGTAAGGCCCATGTCGCTGGAGTGTGTCGTGGGAAAACCAACACTAGTAGATTCCACTTCCGAATATGTGGTTTAAGGACGGTCAATTCTGGTCAATCTTAGCATTTCGGAAGTTAGGCGGTGCACTCTCGAGGATCCAGGTCGTTCTGTAGTTGTGATGTTGTGTGTAGCATTGCTGGTTGCGCACGATGTTTTTGGTTGCGTTTCGTACAGTTCGGGGTACTTGTTGAATATTCGCTGATAGTATGGATCGATCATTTGCTTAACAGTGACTGGAGATAATCCACGACCAGAAAGGAAAGTCACATAAACGTATAATCTGGCATAGCCATCTACTAGTCTTCGTTCGCACGTGTCAATGAGTAGACAATCGTGGGGCAAGTCTATACTAATGACTGGCATAAAGACATTTGCAACAACGAAAATCCAATGCATAGGTTTGCATAAACCTGCCTTAATATAAACATATCGCTTACCATATGTTGCGATTGTCTATCCACTTTTCGCTTGTAGGTTAAGATTAGGTTTTGAAGATGGTCGCTGGGATTCGAGGGAAGAAAGTTTACTTCTGCGTCCGTTTCATTATCATAGCAGAGATGCACAGCAGACGGCCGTGTCTTCCGGCAACGTTTGCTGTCAACACGTGCCGATGTAGAGGTTTCTCAAAGGCTGTTTAAGTCCCGGGAAGCGGCAGGGATTTCTTCGATTTCTCGAAAACGTGCCATACTTATCGTGGAACGAACACCAAACAGGATTACCATCCTCTTATTGCCTGGAGGCGGATCTTTTTCGTGACGAGTTTCTTTGAGGAGTTTGAGAGCGTATAAGATAACGCGTGAGCATATGACAGAGATCCGTAAAGTCATTTTGTGTCATTTGAGGCTTTTCTTTGACGGAATAGACCATGACGTTCGGGGTCCTTGTTATCTCCCGAATACAATGACATGTAACCACCTTGTCTACAGCGTTATTCCGAAATGAAACAAAAATCACTTGCACCTGTTGGAGAAGTCTTGACAAGGAGCGCTTTTTGGACGCGCCCGCGTCAAAGGTCCGTTGACCAGTGACTCCTCTCACAAGTGAAAAAATCTTTGTCACTGAGCCGCGTCGTTACAAAAGGCTGGTTTAACCTTTGTCAACATATTAGGTCCCCACGTCTGAGGATAGCCTCCTTTAAAGTGTCATAAGATTCATAAACATCACTTGTAGACATGTAGAATTATGGTCTACTACGATATTAGTACTGCTCTAATAATAGACCTAATCCTAAATTTGTAGATTCGTCATGATATAACTGCCTAATCTATAAGATCTTACATGGAAGTCACACCATCGACTACGCCAACTCACTGTATCGTATCAATTACCAATACATGATGAAGAAGAAGCTTAGGTTAGAGAAGGAACAATATATTTAATATGAATAGAGACCACGCCTGCATGGCCGAGCCATGCCACTCGATCAACTCCAGTCCATTCAATTCAATCTCCGCGCCTTCTCCATTGTTAGGTATTTTTCCGCGTTAAATATTGAATATCTATTTTCTGAGTAGTCTCGTGTTCACAGCTTTGTGGATTGTGTGGCTATTGTCCAATGCCACTACACTACTCTCCCACCAGAATCAACGTGATGTTGGTTCGATACCAAATTGGATGGGATCGTCGCGCGCCGGAGGTTACCAAGGATAATAAGAATCCTCCGGGTAATGATAAGCTGAAAGATAAATCAAAAAGAAGGCGGCAGCATCTGGTCGGGAAATACATGTAATAATTTTTTTAAAAAAAAATCTGCCTTCATGCTTAACACACTTAAAATGACAATTTGGGTGAAGATTATTTAAGCTATAAAAAAAATGGGGTTACAATAATAATAATAATAATAAAACGATGCGTGTTAATAACTTAACTTATAGGCAGTAATTATTTTGTGTTTAGAAATATTAAAATAATGAATATTGTAGAAATGTTAATATTGGTATTAGTTTTGGTTTAAATTATGAAATCGGATAACGATTATGCCGGTAAGTTGTCCATATGAGTTGAATTCCAATTGCATCTGTATTAGTAGGCTAACTGAAGGAACAAAAGTATACCGTGGAGAAGAATTCCAACTAGTGTTCCAGTTAGTTTGATACGGTTTATTTAGTTACGGGGAGATTTTCTCAACCTCATTTTTACTTGACCGTGATAGAATTTGGTAATACTACCAATACACATGAATGGTTATCAAAATAAAATTTAAATACATGAGTGATAATTATATGAGTTTTGGACAGATAGCTAAGAACAAATCGTTAAACATGAGCGTATTCGTAAGAGACATGCTCTAGACTCAATGTTCTGATCTGTGGCAGACTATTTATTTGTATTTATACTTGCCGGCTGATTGGACATACAAGTTAGTTGCAAGTATGCAGTTTATCATAAGGCGGAACACGATTTAATTGAGATATAGTGGTTATAAGTTATTTAAAATCAGTTAGGCCTGTGTCATATTACGAAGTGATGTGGTGCCGCAGGATGTATTCGGTTAAATAAGCTTTTACAAGATGATTAACAGTGAGTGATGCTCATGTGATTATCAGGAAGAACACAAGTTGTAACCAAGGGGAGTACACTCCCAACTCACGTCTATGATAATGGCTTGAACCTTAGTCAGTGTTTGGGTAAATTCGACATTGATGGTTTCAGTTTGCAGGAGATTTGCTCGACTGCTTATACTGATTATTTGCATGCATTATTGTGTCGCTAAACCTCCAATTAGACTGACAAGGTTTTGAGATATTTACTGAATGAGCAACTGATAGAGAAACATACTGTAATCATCCGTAGTGAATGAAGATAAAAGAAAAACAACACTAGTGATAATTATAAGTCAATTTGCTGACCGATTTTGTTAATAGTCTCATTAATTTTATCAATCATATTACGTGATTGTCATGACAATGCTTTATGACGATATCCTGAAACTATTATGTTTAACTAGTTATAGTGATGATTGAGAATTAGTCAGTGGAAAAATAGGTATTGTTGCTTTAGGTGATTCAAAATCATCAGAAATTTATAACGTTAAAGAATCCCAGACGCCTAATTTAATTATAAATTTCAATTCAGAAATATTCGTTTAGTGTTCATTCTAGTAGGCTACTGAGTTTTGATTTTAAACGTTTGTTTAGCCAACAGCTACCTGGGGATTTAGTTATTTTACTAGTGTAGTTGGTAGTACCTAAATTTTTAATTTTATTATCTAAACTATGTTCGC